GTAGGATAAGACAGGGGAGATGATGATGAAGATGTATTTGCGATGCTAATAACGAAAATCGCATCGCAATCGCGGGTAATCTCCGAAACGGCTGATTTCGACCAGACTTTCACTGAAGGGTAGCTGACATAGACGGGCATATTATAGGTTACTTTTTTATCTTAATATTGCGTGGACGAAGTCCCGCGCAATAGCTAGTTCACTATATTTTAACTATGCTATTGCAATTCGGGGTTAAATGCAAAAGCCCGCCAAAATCCTTTACTGTCATTTCTTATCTGTTCTTTTCCCTCATTGTTTTTTTATTATACGGCGTTTTGTGCATGTCCAGGTTCTGCATTAAGCGTGATGAGTGTTACCAAAAAGGTTGCACGTTTTTACCGGCAAACAATTAGTTTGCTGACAATATTTTTTATATGTATAAAATTATCGTTTATCTGACTCATGTAGGATAAGATGGGATTTAATTCATTGTACTTCAATTCAAGGTTACAATGAGCAAGTCATTCAACAGATTATAAATACGCTGACCAACACATTTGGATCTATATAGAAACTAGCTGTTCCCGTGCGACTTCATTCGCATGAAATTATGAAAATTGTTTTATTGATTACAATTGTCAAATTCAATTACAAATGTCAAAATGACATGACATGATGACAACCTTGCTTTCTTGATGTTCGCGGCAACTTATGGCCTCTTTTTTTATCCAAAATATTTTCCCCTAAGTTCAATGGCGTTAAAATATATAGCCTTAAGCATGACGTAAGTGTAGGACTTTTTATTAAAAAAGGAATTATTCAAAAACATATTGTAATTGCTGACATCTTAGGCAACAAAGTGTGTGTTTACGCTTTATTATAATAGTATAGAAGTATAGATAGATGACGAGATTACAAGTGAAATTGCCCTATATAACGTTTTATGTCCTTGTTTTTTTCAAAGGGAATGTAAGAGACGTCATTATGTATAGGTATTTTAAAAACATATGTTAATGATAACAATGATTGCAAGATTCATATTATCTGATGAAGTTTATTGTTTTTTTATCATCTAAAAATACTTAGAAAACGGTAATGGAATAACTTTAAGGTGGTTAAGTTAAACCAAGAAAGTGTTTGCGATAGTTTTTTGCTTTATTTTGTAGTTCGTGAATTAAAAATTCATGAGTTGGAAACTTGTTTTTGCCTGCGACTTGGTCTTAGTAAGTAGCCTATTTATTCTTTAAGACTATGTTTTACTGTGCTTTTTTGGCGATACGTAATAACAAACAAGAATTAAGATATAAAGTGCATTGCCCTTTTAAACTAATTAAAGGTATAATTGAAATAAATTGTTATTGTTTACAGTTGATAACATTAATTAACTTTTTCGTGCGATATATTAAATCGAATGGATGAAAAAAATTCTTTTATTTTATTTAGAAATCTAACAACGAAGTTTTTTTTTTAATTTTCACATTAAGGCTGTAACTAAATTTAAAAGCAACGTCTGATAAAACACACCGGTAGAGGTAGACGTAGAAAGCGATGGATGGATTGTGTGAAAGGTGACATGATGAAGAAGGGAGTGACAGATGACGTATAGAGTTATGAGGAGGACAAAAACCTGTTGCGTCACTACGGGAGTAGGATAAGGAGGTAGATGATGATAATGTCTGACTTCAGAGTATAAAAAATACTTTTCTGGTATTAGGTAACTGTTGCCCGCGACTTCGTCCGCGTGGTATTAGAAAACATACGAACTATTTAAATAACAATAAGCTACGTATCCCTCGGGAACCGGACATTTCTCGGGGATGAACCTTTTCCCACGTGTACTCCAGACTTTGTTTTATATCTGTGCCAAATTTCAATGAGATACGTTAAAACCGTTGCAGAATGATCGAGTAAACATTAAAAAACTAAATTGATAAATCCCATGGGAACCGTAACTATTCCCGGGATAAAAAGTAGCCTATGTGTTCTTCCAGACTATGCTCTATATCTGTGCCAAAATTCATAGAGATCCGTTCAGCCGTTCAGGCTACAAACGCTAACAAACATCCTTCCATCCATCCATCCATCCATCTAAACTTTCACATTTATAATATTAGTAAGATTATTGGTAGTTTTTTTCTTCTAAGAACTACTACTGCAAGACATGTAATGTATTACAATACGTTACGAAAGAATTTCATTCAAATGACTCGTAATTTATTTAATCAAGGATTTATATATTAACGTATTTACCTCACGTGGGATAGATATGCTATCAAATAACGCATTGGAAAAACACTAATCAATAAACAACTCATATGTTCAAGATAATATATTTAAAAAAAAATAAAACTAAAAAGCGTAAAAACCGACCTAATCTATAATAATATATACTTCTATACAAATATAATAAAGCGTAAACACACACTTCTTTGTTGCTAAGATGTCAGCAATTACAGCATATTGTAGAATATTTTTTTATTTAATAAAAAGCCCTACACCTACGCCACGCTTTAGTCTGTGTATTTTGACTATTAAACTTAGGGGGTAAATAAATCGGAAAAAACCTTCATGTGTAAAAAAGACCTTAAACTACAAGATGCCAACATTAAGGAAGCAAGGTTATTAAGGTAATGGTAATTTTGACATTTGCAATTAAGAATTTGACAAATGTACACAATAAAATAAAGTTTTCATAATTTCATGCGGATGAAGCCGCACAGGAACAGTCTCTCTATAAAAGGTATTTATTTTGGATTTTCTCTCTCATTTTCTTTTACTCGGAATGTTTATTCATTTAATAAAACAATTATAAGATTTGTTTTGTTGTTTGTATGACGTCACAATAAACAAAGATCCAGACAGAAAGATTGTTTACTTTCTCACTGTTTACCAACATAAGGGCAATAATCAAGTTCAATGGGGCAATAGAATAAGCACAGATAATATTTATGACAGTTGATAAACTCTAAGGGAAATGAACGAAAGAAAAACAATAAATATGCTACGATTTGAAGCGTTACGTGAAACGGAACGCGTCGTCATATACCCCCACAGCGGGATAACTGAGTTGATTTTTCGTTCATTTTCAAGACATTAATTATAATAAAATTCGTTAATTCATTATTTTCTATTTAAATAACGTTTAATTCACATAAATATGTAATTATCTACCATTATTTGATTATATCACTTCACTATTACACGACTTAAAAAAATATCGTAGGTAAAGGCATGTATGGAATTCGACGATCGCTTAAAGTATAAAGTTAGGGGGAACGCATCAAAATCAAGACTCATAAATTAAAATTTTATAAAAAAAGAATCTTTAAAATGTATAACTGTTAAATATAAGCAAAATGCTATGGAAGAACGGGACATTCTGTCACAAGTAAATAACTTACTTACAAGAATGTCCCAGGACAAGAAATCTACTTGTAAAATATGTATGATTTTAAGTAATAAATTATTATTATTATTACATGTCACCGATAGACCGTGAAAACCGCTGGTTTGCAATTTGCTATTTGATTTAAAAACAATATAATTATTGCTAATGAATAATCTATTGCGTAAATGCAGTTCAAGATGAACGTGTTGTAGTTAAAGTGATTAAGATGGCATTATAACAATGATCAGACACCGTTAACAGATTGAATAAAAATTAATGGAGAAAATTGGAAAAAAACCCACAGTAACTACTATTTTACATAATAACAGACATGAATAAAAAACGTCAAATTCAATAGTTATTATAAAAATGTCCTTTTGTTTTTACCAATCATAATACGGACATCATTTAAAAGGACGGATTAATCATATTAACAATAACGTTACGTATTACGTGTTTCTTATTAACATAATTGACTATTTTCTTTTGTAATCGTCTCATTGAGTCATTGTTTTAGTTCCTACTACAATTGAATTGGATATGAAAAACAACTAAAAGTAGAGGTTATAACATAACCTATGTTTTACAATATTATTTTTTATAATAATTATTATTAAAGAGCATATTTCTGTATTATTATTTAAGGCATAAATGTTTAATTTTTGCCTATATCGTGTTCCGTAAAAGGTTGACATCAAATCAAGAGCCAATATTCGTATTGTCTTTTTACAAAAATGACAAAATTAAGGATGCCAAAAATAGTCTATGGTGTGCTCTTACGCCTAATTTGTATGCTCTGGGTTAGGTTATAAATTAGTTGGTTGGATAAGGTTATAAATGTAAAATTAAAAGCTAAATGTTTTTTCGGGTTTGGTAATATCAAGAAATGACATGATATCCAAATTATTTTAGGTTAGAATAGTGAAAATTAAAACAGTAATTCTAATATTAAATCTTCCAAAAACAAGGAAACGAAAATATTTTCATTTTGTTCCCGCCTCGATTTGACACATTGTTTGTTTTTTTTTTAATTACGCGACATGCAGTGGCTGAATGCCGGTGTCGTTGCCCGACAGTTTATAAAATGTATTTTAGTAACAGGAACACAAATCGAATTGTTTACGCATAGATATCGCGTATTAATATTAATCGCACATTTTACTATTAAACTAATCATATTTTATGCGAATGTTTATCGTCTTGTTTGTTTTATAATTTCCAATATCGTTTGCAAAGTCAAATGCGCGGGAAATTAATTTTCATACAAGATGCATTTTATGTTTTGATAGCTGTGGTATTTTTGCTATATCTTAATGCGTTTAATTTAATTTTAAAGTAAAAAAAAAATATTTAAACTCGCGCCTACTTTACGGCTTAAGGCAAATTAAAAAAAGACTAGCTAATTTACATACAAAAATCTAGTTTTTCTTAAAATAAAACATTCTTACAGACTCTTATTAATTAATAGTTTTTGTACCTTTATCACTTTTATTAATTAAGACTGAATTTGCGAAATATCCCTACAGATAAAATAATAAAAAAAAACACTGGCATCACATAAATTTCATAGCACGATTTATTTCCTCGTTCGAAATTCAAATCACTCTCAAATAATTGACAGTTGACATACCGATGCCGGCGATGACATACTGCCGCCACAACTGTCCCGCCTCCATCCTGTGCTGGTGACTGACTGCTCCGGTCCCGACCGGGTCGTATGCGTAGCTCGCCCTATCTGCCATACGTCACGACACGTCACGGCGACGTCACGCGACCGTGATGCGGGGTGCAAGATCAACGCTCAACGCACACTTCGGAATCTGTAAATAATTATAAAAAAAACATACAGAATTTAGTACCTCCTTTTGGGAACTCGTTACCATTGATTAGTGAAAAAATAAATCATTTTATAAGACAACGCCCATTCGAAATACTATAGCAACTGCAAATATGTTACTATCCTACGGATTACTTATTTTGATACATATTTTAAGCCCAATTAACTCAAGAAATTTAAAAAAATGGTTCAGGCGTTTGGGCTAATATCATATAGTACTTATATTTTCATTTATTAGTACCTAGAATTGTATTATCTGTAATTATTATTTAATACGTAAGTTATTTGGACTGTCATCATTCGGTGTGGCATAATGACTATCTAATCAACCGGATTTACTTATATCTGACATATTCAAGGACGTTTATTTCCTACCCAATTAGGTTTATACCTGTGAAAGTCAAAGCAAAATTCAGTTCACAATCAAATCAAATCAGTTTACATTTGTCAAATTATCAATAGCCAATGTCAAAATGACAGGGCTTAGCAACCTTGATAATCTTGCTTCCTTGATGTTGGCAGCAACTTATGGTCTCTTTCCCGCATTAGAGTTTTTATCCAAAATATTTACCCTCCTAAGTTTAATGACGTGAAAATAGCCTAAAGCGTGATGGTGATAGGGGTTTTCATTACAAATACAAATATTAAAGAAAGAATTATTCAAAAATATGCTGTAATTGCTGACATCTTAGGCAACAAAAAAGTGTGTGTTTACGCTATATTATAATAGAAGTATAAGTATAGATAACTAGCTTTCGCTTGCGACTTCGTCCGCAAATAAATAAAACAAAATTAAGTAGCCTATGTTTTCTTCCAGACTATCATCTACATATATGCCAACATCGAGATCCGTTCAGGAGTTTAGGCTACAAATTCTAACAAACATCCATCCATCTAAACTTTCGCATTTATAATATTAGTCTGAAGTACGATTATGTATTTGATAATCAACTAATTTATACACTTATCAAAGAGGAAGTATTATTCGTAATCTATTACAATTGCGAAAGCGCGTGGAAAAACCCATCAGATTTCGTAAATGTAAAGGAAACTCATTTATGCATATTTTCCGTTTTTTTCTAAACAGCCAGTCATTAAACGTAATTAAATTATGATAGCGTTTAATTAATTATTGATATGACTTTATTAATGGTCTCCGACTCTGGCCAGCGACTCCGTCCGCGTAGAATAAAAAAAAACGAAAGTGAGTAGTCTATGTGTTCCTCCAGACTATTATTTACATCTATGACAAATTTCATCAAAATTCGTTCAGCCATTTAGGCTGCAAACTCTAACAAACATTCATCCGTCGATCTAAACTTTTGCATTTGTAATATTAGTATGATAGCATACTCCCGCGACTCCGTCTGCGTAGCATTAAAAATACGAAACTGAGTAGTCTATGTGTTCTTCCAGACTTTATATCAATACCAAATTTCATCGAAATCCGTTAAGCAGTTTTGGCTACAAACTCTAACAAACATCCATCCATCTAAACTTTCGCATTTATAACATTAGTATAATCTGTAAACATAGATGTTTAATCCCGAGCGCAAAACGCGGGAAAAAAAATAACGTTTTGAAATTCGAATCTCCATTAGATACCAACCTGTATGAAACAAACCATCTATAGGCTTTACATATAACTTTTGAATAGTATTTTAGTATTTCAATAAAGAAAATCTAAACTAATTGTCCAATAAGTAACCATTAAAACTTTAAAAATGGTAGTTAGTTTCTTTTTAATAAGCGTCAGTCGTGATTCTTTGAAAAGTTTATTATTGTCTATTCTATGTTGCCAAAGGAATAACGTAGAATAATGGCGTAGACTAAAATAACGTAAATATACTGAATTTAATGCTAATGTACAAATTGACCTTGTTTTAAGTGTAACTAAGTGGAAGAAACGTTTTCGTGACGTAAGACTACTCCGGGATTTATTTGTTATTTTGAGGTTATGTGTCAATAATAAAGTCTGATATAAATAATACTTCTTATTACAAGTTAAATATGTGCTCCATAGTTATTTAAACTTTAGGACAAAATGACGCGAAATAGTGAACTCATGGTGACCTTTTGTTGTTTGTAAAAAATGACATTACGAAATTCGACTCAAAGAGGTCTATTTGGTTTTTTAGGTTATATCTCTATGGTGTGATTTTTTTTTTATTTATAAACTTGTTCAATACTTTCTAATGTTGTTTTTTTTTCATTTATCCATATCTTTTAAGTAACCTTATTGTATATCTTATTATGTATCTTTTTATTTGCGATATGTGCAGATATATTTTTTATTTTGCTTAAATGACATTGATATTGGGTTACTATCACGCCGTTTATCAAATAACCTATTAACTTGAAACCTTCATAAAATATATCAAAAGATTATGGTTATAAACATATTACACAGTAGAACCTCGATAACTCAAACCTCGGTAACTTAAAAACAACTATAACTTCAAAAAATAATATGTTCCCTTTTCATCAGAGCCCAAAACGTCTATTACATAGACCCTTGATAACTTAAAATATTTTGTGTTTCCCTTGGACTTTAACTTATAAAGGTTTTACTGTACAATAAATAAGAAAATAACGAAGTACAATCAAATTTCTTCTACAGCTCTACAGTCCTTTGTGGGCCTCGGCTTGGTCCAGCAACTTTTTCCATTTCGGCCTATCTCTGGTCACATTTTTCCACTAAAACTTTGGTCTTCCTTGACTTCGAAGATCCTTTGCGATTACTTGTTATAACACATTTAGGTACTCTAGTATCATCCATCCGGTCTACGATGCCAGCCCATCTGAGCCTGCCATGTGACCTGCTCATTTAAGCCTGCCCGAAGTATTTTTTTTTACCACAGACTTTATTATTGACACATAACCTCAAATTTGGTTTGCATATTCAAACGGTTTGCAAACAAACCTCCCGTATTGTAGCTGTTATGTCTATAATATACAATTATTATTACTTTGATGTCGATGTCAGCCGAGATAGGCAGTTGATTTCTACGCAACGCTTCCTACATTTTTACCATAACAATTGACAATTGAAAGTATAGTAACAATTAAGTAATGAATCTATATTGACTGACACCGACTTCAAAGTAATAATATTTTTACAATACAGACATTACAGCTACAATAAGGGAGGTTTACATATTCAAGTAATTATTTTGTTACTTTTTAGTGTACTGTTTTTTGAGAACATTTTGTTTTTAGTGTATTTTTATTGTCGCTGATCTTTGGACTGCGCACTCAGTCAAGTATTTTTCAATGCGTTAATACCTCTTTTGTTTTCCTTCCGGTCAGGAAAATGTTCCGATATACGCATTACGTATACTTAGAAGGAAGTGACTTTGTTTTAGTAGATATGTATGCGATGCGTGTAATGAGTTTAGTTTATAGTTCTGTTAGTGTCAAAGATCTTTGTTAATAGACTAATAGCTAACGTGAGTTGATAATTAAATTTTCGTGAGTCATTTGTTTTAAGGAAGTTAAGACAATGATTAGTTCCTTTGTTTTCAAATTTTAGGGCCTGTCCCACCAAATTGTAAATTGTCTGATAACTATCCGACGTGTAAATGTGTGATGGATCGGATTTTGTTCTCTTATCTGACAGTGAATCTGGGGCTTTATCAGCCTGTGGTGAGACAGGCCCTTACACTTATTGCTCTACTCTTTATAATTGGCCACTAAATTATTGCTTTTGTGTATGTTTTCTATGATATAATAAGATATTCCAAATAATATGAATTCCTATTTATTTAAGTGACGTAATAAAATAATGCTGTAAACCTATTCAAAACGATTCTTTTGTCTACGTGTATTTTATATTGCAATTGATGCATATCTAAACGATTACTCGGTCACTTCTAATAAAACGTAGGCAAATGTCACCTAAATACTGAACTTTTGGAATTAACATTTATCAAGTAACATATCTGACGATTTAAAACAGGCGTTAGTTTAAAAACGCCTTTTACTCTTTTAATAGCAATGTTGCGTTTAAGAAAATTAGCGATATATTTATTCTCAATCAGATATCATTTTTCACTGGTATTTAATTACATAGGCATTGTAACTAACTATACATAGGCATAGATAAAACATGATACAGTTGAAAATTAGCGCCTGCAAATATGTAATAGCAATATGACACATTGATATTTTGCAATTATTGTTTAGATTATTTTTTAAATCGATTTATTGCTCAATCATGATAAAAATATACAAGTGGTTGAGTATGTAGTATGTTTATAACTATGTGAATTCCCTTTAAAGTGGTAATAATACTTGAAAATGGTAAATTCCATCCATTAACTATATCATGACTAGTAGAGATTACTGGAGTGCTAGTAGTTACGTTTATACGACTTATTGTCAAGGGCAACACTTGTACTGAGTGTTTACACAATATTTGTTGCATTATATAAAATTAATATTAATAATTTAGATATACAGTTAATTAAATACAGGGTGAACATAGTTATGAATTAACTGAGTAAACGTTATTGCGTCATTGGTCATAACCAAAAAGTTTACGAGGAATTTTGCAATTTGTATCTCTGGTCTATTTAGCAACTATATTTTATCTGTTTCTTGAGAATGACTATTGAAATAAACGTTATTTTAGTAAGCAATTGTTTTATTTAATGAAAATAAGTACGTCAAATTTAAACAAAATAGGTTATATTTTTTGGCGCTAGACGTTTATAGACGTAATCAAGGTTTTATTATTTTAATAAATTATCTTTAGATTATCAACAAAGTCAATGTCAAAAATAATTAATTATTGCTAATCGTAGTATCGGAAAGGTTATCAATTTATATTGAACTAGCGGTCATCGGCGACTTTGTCGGAATTAAAAAAAAATTTGTCTCTTTCCGGTCAAAATTGTCCCACAGCTGTTCCAATACCCGGAACAAACGGTCTTGCTTGACAGACATTTTAAAAATTGATTTTTCGTTACCAGCAATATAAATATATCATGTAATACAAGACTTTTGTC